AAAGAGTTCGCCCTCTGTGCTTTGGTGCAACCAACCATAAAGCAGTCTTTGACTTAACGAATAATATGGACGGAATGGTGCTTTGCTGTGATCTTGCCAAGGCATGCAAGGCACACGATGACACTGTCTAATGCATGCGCCTTGCGGCTGCACTTCGCCTTGATCCGCTTCAGAGCTGACTAATAATCAGTACAAAGTGTAACTTGTAAATAAATAATATACAAAATATAATACTTCGAATAATTTCATTAGATAACCGAGCTGCGGTTCAGCAGTTCATTTCGGTAATCTTTTTGTGTGGTTGATGAGATGAACAGATGTTCTTGGTTCCAGGAGGTCCATATGTGTTTGTGTCGACTTTATATTCTTGCATTAAAAATGCTTATACGCGCAGTTAGCGTGAAAGTTATTTATTCAACGTCTCCTCACTGACTTATCCCCTTAAACTTTTGTTTTTGAAGGAAGCTTAATATTGCATTACTACGGTTTTCGCTATGGTTTCTAATGTCAACCGTTGTCTCTAATGAGTCTGTATGCCAAAAAGTCTCTTAACGTCAAATTAAGTGACAAAGCGCTGCTTTCTATGTCGATGCTACCTGATGAACATCGCTCTTGCAAAGATCTACTTAACCACCGAAAGTTTCCAGCTTTTCTATTATTGTCTGTGAGTTGCTTAAATAGTTTATTCGCTTTTCTTTACTCCTCAGTGTCACTTGAAGCAGAGTTCAAAATAGCAACAATTTTTCAAACTATTACAATTGGCACATTTAAGGGTGCATCACAAGTTTCAAGTACGTTAGTTGTCACTGTAGGTATCGAAAATGTGTATGAATGATAATTTGATCTGGCATTGTGGATCACGTCCGAAATTCGGTTTGGGAGAAATAAAGCGCTGGACTGTGTACGCTGTCTTCTCACTGATTCAGCGGTGTACCGACGCCGAGACTGTTGGAGTGTTCGTTTTGTTACTGTTTCCGTATCGTCAACTAGGAACTGGTATTTTCTGACACCAAATGGCACCGGTTATAAGTTCACCGAAGCGCGTATTTCGGAACTTTCACAATGTCGTCGAACTTGTGACAATGACTGACATTGATGGCAACCGAATTGGCCCTGAAACTGTATTGGTGTTGCTCTTTTTCCCAACTGCCTACCTTTCATGCAGTAATGGTTGGGTAGGGAATCGCCTCCTTGATGGTAAGCTGTCAGTTTCCAGTTTCCTGAGCGTTGCTGCATTCTTTTCTCTTGTACGGATGAGTGTAATTTGCGAGCATGTATCTGAATGTCCAGCTTTTCGAGATTGTCAGTAACCTCCGGCGTAGCAATCTAGAAATCATTTTTATTGCCACTGAACTTCCCG